CTCTTGGTTCTTATTTTTCACCCCTGCCCAGCCCTCCCTTCAACCCCTCCAGTCTTCCCTATTTACAAAGATAATGTATTTTTATTGATAGAAAAGTTTTCTAAAATATATGAAAATTAGTATAGAAAAGAAAAAATGTTTAATTTTAAGCCTTATACATGGTGTGTGCCATTCATGTTGCGCTTTCCTATGGATTTCTGGTTTTAATCAGTTTCTTTGCTCTTCCATGCAGAGATTTTATCAACAGCCTGCGATTGCACAGGTTGTTCTACGGTGGCCTGGCTGATCAGCTTTGCGCTAATGACCTGGCTGCTGCTGACGGACTGCCCTGCTGGGATGGAGAGGAACTGGCACAAAGGTATTCTGTCTGTCCCCAGCTATGAAAACCCAATAGCGACTGTTCATCCTTCCTTTCTTTTCCTGACTCTTCAGTGGATTGCTTCAATTTTAATTTTTCCAGTCAAGTTAGAGATGAATTCCTTCTCTTTAATTTGCTGGAAAAAAGAACGATTCTTTTTGACATTTAAAAAATAAAACAGCCTAGGTTTCCTCTCCCTTTCTCCCCCCCGCCCCCCGCTTCCCTTTCTCTCTCCCTTTCTCTCTTTCTTCCTTCTTAAAACTGATTGTGGTCTCAATCTCTTAAGCTTGAAAAAGTCATCAGTTCACCCTCTGTAGTCAATAAAAGTGATTGGGAATCTGTTCCTTGACATGCCATTATTGGTGATTATTATAGGATGTACGGTAATGAGGCTTTCCGTTTGGATTTGAAGATTTAAAGCATGAAATACATTTTTTACTTACTTTAATGTTTGAATTTGAATTCATTACAAAATTGAATTTGAATCTGTTAAAAAATACACCATATTTTGAACAGTCTGCTGAAAGGTAGAAGAGGGTATTATACTTTCTTACAAACACTACTCCAGGTAAAGACAGATAGTTATCACAAAAAGATGAGTTCCCTTAAAGTAATTAGGAATTTTAACTTATCATGATAAATATGTACTATAATACATTTTCAATAAAATTTTTGATACAAAGGTGTTTCAATATTTCTGTATGATCATATTCATTGTAAATAAGTTATATTCTTGAAATATTAAAATTATTTTATAGTTAATATATGAATAGCTCATAGATTATTATTCAGGTTCACAGAAAAAGATTATTGAAGACAAGAACTATATTTAAATTTAAATAAAATATTTGGCCAAATGGCTGGTACTCTTTTTTATTATGTTCCTTGGAGTATGGGTTATAAGAATTTTATGAATATTTTTCTGGCTTTCACTGAAAGTAGACATAGCATGTATGGTACTTTAATGTCTTAAAGTAGGTGTATCAATTTCCCAAGATCTAGTAATTATTATCTTGACTTAAAATTTTTCTTTGCACTTTGTTCAAAGAAATTGAATTTTTGTGTACCACTGAATTCTCTACAAGAATTAATGAGAATTCCATGATGACTAATGAAAAATTTAGCATACAATATAAATATTTTAAACACATTACATTATATTATATCTTGTAAATCTATATATAGTTTTAAGAGTCTTAGTTTCTATTCATCACATTCTTTGCTTGACTAGTTGGTTTAATTATGTAATAGGAAATAGTATTAGAGGGCCAGGGATTTAGCTCAGTGGCACCTCACCTGCCTTGCAAATGCAAGGTCTGGAGTTCAATCCCAGGTACCAAAAAAAAAAAAGAAAGAAAAAGAAAAGATTAGGAGGAAATAGTATTAGAGAAATACATAATTAGAGAAAATTTTTAGAGGAATAATATTTTAAACTCAAAGGACATATTTTCTCCTGCAAAAAGTATATATAATTTAAGAGGTCATTTATGGCTTATAATAAAGAAAGCACATCTTTACCAACAAGTTTCCATGGAAAGTGTTTCCGTTTCTGAAAAGCAAATGGAATGATTCTGTTTTCTCATCTGCTTCCCTTTCTTCTACCACCCAGCCTCCTGGGATTAGTCACTCCCAAGGGTGGAGAGATTCTGGTCTTCTGTGAAAAAGTTTCATTTTGCCTTTGTCTGCTTTTAAATAACAACTTCTGATCTCATAATGTTATTGGACATTTTGCCTTCCTTCAGTGTATTTTTCTCTTTCATTGCTATCTTGTGGGTCCGCAACCTATTCCTGATCCGCGAGTTACAGGCCAGAAGACTAGCTCATACACTTTAGCTCCCTACCACCATTAGGCTGTTCCAAAATGAACATGTTTTAGCCCAATTATTTTGCAGCAGTGAGCTAAGGGTTTCATAGGCAATATTTCATTTCCTTATTCCAGACCTCATTCCTTAACACTGTAAAGTCAATGAGGCTGTATCTCTGTTCCATTTGATGTTAAAAATAGCTCTCATATGTACATTAGCTTTAAAAAATTAATTTAAACTTTAATTCCATTATGACTAAGTCAATTCTTGATGTGAACTTAGAATGTGATCCTTTTTCCACTGCACAGTCAATGCTGTAATCTAAATATCTATGAAATCTGATGGACTGATTGTGCTGTATTCAGCATGCAATGGTATGTAGCAATAAAAAATCATGCTATCTGCTGTTGTGGAATGATTTCAAATAATTGTTAAATAAAATAGCTAGAACCAGAATAGTGTATACTTAGCCTACTTATTTGAAAAAATAAAATAGATACCTGAAGTTTTTTCTACATAGAATATTTCTGGAAGATTACAGAAAACTTGTTAATATGCCCAACTTTAGGACAAAGTACTGGGAGGAGGGTTTTTTAAATAAATTTGTATTGTACATATTTATTTTTGATGAAAGCAGGTACTACAGTAATTCTAGAATTATGGGGACCTATATGCAAGGCATTATTTTCTTTAAATAATTATCTTTGTAAAAATGTAATGACTCACTTTATGAAAAGTATTACCCATGTCTTTAATTTTTAATTCAGATTGTCCAGTTCTTTTGACATTGATTGTTACATCATCAATGGATATGCCTCAATACTGATCTTACTGAATTTATCTAAAATCATCTCTGCATAAAGTTGAATCCAGATGATTATTATTGTATTAAGTCATTAAATCATTACTTTCTCCTCCCCCCCAAAAATGAAGTATCATTGTTTAGTAATGAGAAGCTATAAGTGATCCTCATGTAAGATACTCATGTTAGAGACTTGCACTTAGTTGAGATAAATAATACCATTCAATTTTGAGAAAATGGATACCAAGTGTATGTAGATCATTTTTAGAGCTGCAGACTATATCCCTTTTTATGGTAGGTTATAATGCTCATCAAGTTCGTTCTGGAGAAATTTTCCCAAACACATATAATGGACTAAATTGTTGCCGAGATTGAGTTTATGTTCACTATAAGAATGCAGTGATTATTTTGGCAAGATTTCTTTTCCTGAAGACAGTTTTAGAAAGTGATTGATAAGGTTATTTATGTGCACAGATGTGCTGCCTCAAAGAGCAGAAAAATCATAGAGACTGTTTCAATATCATTAAATCCTCTAAAATTGATTGAAATCACTTATGTACTCATTAAAAGATGTGGAATTCCTTTATACTTACAGATAAGAAAGTCTCAAATACCTCTAGTGTGCAGGGAGAGTTTAATTTCTGAAACAAAATCTACTTTAGTTCAATGATTTAAAAGACTCTATTAGTACCGTGTGCTGTACTGTAACACTGAGTTCACCAGTTCAGTCAATTTTTATTTAAACCGAAGATGAGTTACTGAAATCCATGTAGTCTATACAAGGTCCCTCTTATCTAGCCCTGCTGTCACTTCATCATGAAGCAAGATTGTTCTCTGAAAGGCCTGTCAGTCCTTACTCTGTTCTTCCTTTTTTGTGATTGCAAATTGACTGTTTGATGATTTGTACTCACCTTTCTGGGCATTAAAGTTCAGGTGACAGCTCCTTAATTATAAAGGCTTCCTTCTCCCTTTGATTAATAGACAGATAATCCAGTAACTCTTTCTCAGTCTTTAGGAATTTATGTTCTTCACAGAAACTGTTCAACTAGCGAGTAGCTGCTAAGTGCCCTAGTAAAATTAATAAGCTACATCTTTCTACTTCATCTTGATTTAGTTAGTGTTCCTAAATGCTTCTTTCAGAATCCAGTTGTTTCCTTAACGTGACCCTTTTTTTCCCACTGATTGTCATTGAATTTTTAAAAGTCAGAAAAATTAGAAAACCTTAGAACTGTGTGAAATTTTGTACTACGATTACCAGGTTTCATTCTACCCAGGCAATGACTTTTTTCCTAGACATTATTTCTTTTACCCTCATGTTTTTCCCCTTTTCCCATGGTATCTGGAAAGCTATTTCATTTTCAGTCTTTCTTGTTTCCTTCCTGATATAGCATTCAATTATATCTTTCTTTTTTTTAAGGCATGTAGCCTAGTTTTCCAGTGCTAGGAACTTCCTTTTAAAAACCATCAGGTCTCATGATTGTTCCAAACGAGTTGCTTTTCCTGTGCAAAGGTAGTATGTTCTTCATGATTTACACCACCTGTCTTTCTTTTCCATTCTCCCTGTCTACTTAGGTCTTTGCGTTGTTGAACCATGCCTTCTCAGTAATCATCACTATTCTTAGACCTAGACCCATTTGAGTTTGGTTCAGAAGTAGAGGTCACTCAAAATATGTGATTTGGAGAAAAATTCTTTCTCACTGTAGCAGTCTATTATAGAGCTTAAAATTCTCACCACAGAATAACTTCAAATAAATGATTTTCTCCATGTGATTGTATATATAGTTTTGCCAAACTCCTACTTTCATCTTGAGTCCTAGCAGAATGAACCCTTTAATAAGTTTCATTTTAACCCCTAAAACAGCATGAAATCTACAATGTTTTTTATTCGTGTCATATATATCTTCTTTCTCCTGCTCTACTGTAGTTTATTTTAGAATAGAGGTGCTACATTATCTGAGATGCTGAAAATGATCAGTTACATTCAACATCTGTGAGCACTTTTCTAAATATAACGGGACCGAGGAAATTGAATTTTATGAGTATTAGAAAGAACGAAGAGACTTGGGACTTAGCGAAGCAGCTTTATGAGAACACTTTGGTGGGAGATATGTGTGTGCAATGTACAACTGAGTGTCCTGAAGAAAGATTAGAAGGGAGATGAGTCGTGTCATTGTTATCAGCGACTGACTCTGGGTGCTGAGATTTTTTCTGACTTTAAGATTATGCTGTCCCATAGTGTTTATGTCTGTTAATATTTTTGTGAAATCAGAGTCTAAAGAACTCCACTAATATCATATGTTTTAAAATAGAACCATGTTAGCCTGGATTGTCGCTATCCCCCCTCTCCGTACACACACACACACACACACACACACACACACACACACACAAAG